CTTGTACCATACCCCTTGTAGACACCCAAACGTGTCTCCCAAAAACTAAACCAGTGATGAATATCTTTCACGTAATTTGATTATCGAACAAGGTGAAAGTGTGAAAAGTCTAGTGATGCGATTGTTTTTATTAAAATATCTGTCTTTCTGTTTTTAAAAATATTCCTTTTATCCTCTATTTATGAAAATAGAAAGTCCAATTTAGTTTGGTCCATGATAAGGGTCCAATAATAGTGTAGTTCGATCGGGCTCGAAAATAGTATCCAACGATATATTATAAGCCCAATTCTGATGAATAATGAGGAAGTTATGGCCTATAAACTAAATTGGGCCCGAGATGAATTTCATATGTGGCCCAATGATCTAGAGGAGGGCCTATTAATTATTATTCCTAAATTTATTAGGATTGATTTAAATCTTCTGGAATAATCTAGAATGTTCTTTTAAATTCTAATGGAATTAGGATTGATAATTATATTTTAAAGAGTTTTATTTGGAATAAAATAAGTGTTTTATGATAAACCGTATTTTAATTTAATGAACGCGGAATTTGCTGCTTAATCATATTAAGAAGAGGATTCCGTGTGCAAATTGCGTTTTAATTCTGACTTAGTGCAAGACAACAAGTCTGTCGCCTGGCACTAATAGTTGTCCCCTGACGCTAACAGCTGTCACCTGGCGCTGGTGTCTGTCGTTTGGCGCTAACTCCTGTCGTTTGCGACAGGAGGTATTTTATTCCGAATGGGACTTGATGAATATTTTTTCTATAAATAGGGGTCGTATTTCCCCGTTTTTTTTTCATTCACAACCATCTAATTCTATTCTCTCTCTAAAGCTAGAAGCTTTCTCTCTCTCTCTATTCACTGGGCGAAAATATGTAATGGCCACCGGTTGAAAACCCCCCATTGCCACCGGTTTTGAACCGGTGGTCATTTGGGGGGTGGCAATAAAGCATCGCATGGCCACCGGTTACAAACCGGTGGCAATAGTCGTCATGGCCACCGGTTAACCGGTGGTAATAATAATTATGGCCACCGGTTAACCGGTGGCAATAATAATGGCGCGGTTTTTTTTGGAGGGGAAGGCTGACTATTGCCACCGGTTTGAACCGGTAAACCGGTGGCAATAATAAGATTTAAATTTTTTTCCTGCAATTATTCCTGCAACTGATCCTGCGATAATATTCTGCCATATTATTGCTATAAATCTGCCATAATATAATTATTATTAATAATCATAACAAGAATTAAAAATATATATTCAGACTTTTATAATTAAAAACCAAATGCAATACAACATAAGCTTATAAAGTGTGATATACAAAAAAATTCAAACAATACTAATAACTAGTCAGTATTGTAGTCTAAAGTTAATAATTAACAAAGTATAAATTCAAAATGATGTCACATTTACAAATTGAAGGTGATGAAAGATGCCAACATGTCTCGAACATCATTAAGCTCCTTGCTTGTTAACGGATCTCCCTTTTGCACCTTGCAAAACTTGGAATATATATAAATTATGTTAGAATAAATTAAATTAATTAGGTAAAGTAAACATGTGAGTAATAAATATGTAAAAAATTAAATACTTGGATCAAAACGGTAAAAAAATTAAATACTTGGGTCAAAACGGTCAAAAATTAAATACTTGACTTCTACTTGCCCATTTTCTACATTTTTAAAAAAATGACCAAGTTCTTTCTCATAACATGTAAATTACACTTAGTTATAGGTGGCTAAGCCTTGAAATCACAGAAAAAGAACATTTTACTAAGTTTAAGGTCGCATTTTCATCTAAAATAGCCTAAATAAGGCCTATTTGACTTCTACTTGCTCATTTTCTACATTTTAAAACAAAGGACCAAGTTCTATCTCATAAAATGTCAATTATACTTAGTTATAGGTGGCTAAGTCTTGAAATCACAGAAAAAGGGCATTTTACTAAGTTTAAGGTCGCATTTTCATCCAAAATAGCCTAAATAAGGCCTATTTGACTTCTACTTGCCCATTTTCTACATTTTTAAACAAATGACCAAGGTATTTATCATAAAATGTCAATTATACTTAGTTATGGGTGGCTAAGCCTTGAAATCACAGAAAAAGGGCATTTTACTAAGTTTAAGGTCGCATTTTCATCCAAAATAGCCTAAATAAGGCCTATTTGACTTCTATTGCCCATTTTCTACATTTTTAAACAAATGACCAAGTTCTTTCTCATAACATGTCAATTATACTTAGTTATAGGTGGATAAGCCTTGAAATCACAGAAAAAGAGCATTTTACTAAGTTTAAGGTCGCATTTTCATCCAAAATAGCCTAAATAAGGCCTATTTGACTTCTAATTGCCCATTTTCTACATTTTTAAACAAATGACCAAGTTCTTTCTCATAACATGTCAATATACTTAGTTATAGGTGGCCAAGCCTTGAAATCACAGAAAAAGAGCATTTTACTAAGTTTAAGGTCGCATTTTCATCCAAAATAGCCTAAATAAGGCCTATTTGACTTCTACTTGCCCATTTTCTACATTTTTAAACAAATTTCCAAGTTCTTTCTCATAACATGTCAATCATACTTAGTTATAGGTGGATAAGCCTTGAAATCACAGAAAAAGAGCATTTTACTAAGTTTAAGGTCGCATTTTCATCCAAAATAGCCTAAATAAGGCCTAATTGACTTCTACTTGCCCAATTTCTACATTTTTAAACAAATGACCAAGTTCTTTCTCATAAAATGTCAATATACTTAGTTATAGGTGGCCAAGTCTTGAAATCACAGAAAAAGAGCATTTTACTAAGTTTAAGGTCGCATTTTCATCCAAAATAGCCTAAATAAGGCCTATTTGACTTTTACTTGCCCATTTTCTACATTTTTAAATAAATGACCAAGTTCTTTCTCATAACATGTCAATTATACTTATTTATAGGTGGATAAGCCTTGAAATCACAGAAAAAGAGCATTTTACTAAGTTTAAGGTCGCATTTTCATCCAAAATAGCCTAAATAAGGCCTATTTGACTTCTACTTGCCCATTTTCTACATTTTTAAACAAATGACCAAGTTCTTTCTCATAACATGTCAATTATACTTAGTTATAGGTGGCTAAGCCTTGAAATCACAGAAAAATAGCATTTTACTATGTTTAAGGTCGCATTTTCATCCAAAATAGCCTAAATAAGGCCTATTTTACTTCTATTTGCCCATTTTCTACATTTTTAAACAAATGACCAAGTTCTTTCGCCTAACATGTCAATTATACTTAGTTATAGGTGGCTAAGCCTTGAAATCACAAAAAAAGAGCGTTTTACGAAGTTTAAGGTCGCATTTTCATCCAAAATAGCCTAAATAAGGCCTATTTGACTTCTACTTGCCTATTTTCTACATTTTTAAACAAATGACCAAGTTCTTTCTCATAACATGTCAATTATACTTTGTTATAGGTGGATAAGCCTTGAAATCACATAAAAAGAGCATTTTACTAAGTTTAAGGTCGTACCTCATCAAGATGTATGGTGTTGGTACAATGAGTCGCTATGTCAAGCATGAATCTCATCACGTATAATCCACAATCAACTCCATTATCTTGTTGTGGGAACTAGAATAGGAAAAAATCAAATGAATCAAACGTCACATAAAACCCACAATTGTTTTAGCAATGTTTTTTAAGATAATCACAATATGATGTGGCATTACCACAGGTGATTTCCATGTAGGACCCCGTGGAGCACGACCATGTATCTTCTTCATAATACTATAGGAAAGTAAATTCAAATTTTATTAGTTTGACTTCTAAATGAGTTAGGTTAAGATAATCAACACTAGGTAGCTATATTTACTTTTGTAGTACTGACATCACGAGGTACTTCTTTGTTGATCGAGCTAAATCAAGGTGAAAGATTGTGTTATTAGCAGGACAAAAAACCATGAGGAACCAATGAAACCTACATAAATTCACAATACACAAACAAATCAATAATTAGGGTACAACAAATAATTCAAATGTAGAAAGAATTGAATTACACATGGTTAAACGTACTCCTCATAACATGGGGCGAATATGAACTTGTCTCCCGCACGCATTGATTCCCTAATACTATGATTAACATAATACATCACCTCGGGGGAGTTGTGTAAGATTCTAGTCTCGGATGTCTGTTCGGGGCATAACCACCCAACTTTACTAGGGGAATCAATGTCACTTAAGTGCTCCCGTAGTGCTCTACGTGCATGTGCAATGAAAAATTAATTGACATATATATGAAGGATAAACAACACTAATATGAATAACATAATTAATTTAAGTGGCATGTGCCCGTACCTCATGAATATTTGAATGAGAGAAATGTTAAGCATTGAACCTCTTAAAAATTCCTTCACATCTTGTTTGTTTAACCATGCACTTGCATCCTCATCATAATGGAACATTGCCTTAGGAAGTGTAATTTCAATGGGAATCGTCACTAGGCAAATGACTAAAACGATTGTGTAGAAAAGTTAAATCCTTAGTGAGCGATTGAAGGACATTGTCTCCAACAAGTGGAGTAGGTTGCATGGCTGAACCTTTCGAAGAATTCTTTTTCGACACTTGTTCACTCTTCGACCCTTGTTCACTCATCTTCTTTGAAGGTTGATCAACGCTTTTAGGCTTCTCCACCTTCCTTCTCTTTGATGGTTGACTTTTTTTCGAAATCTGATCAAAACAAAGATAATTAGAGTTCAAAAAATTTTAGCCGGGGTTTAAGCTAATAAGTACGCATGCAGATTTGTTATTTTGCACAACATCAAAATAAATATTACCTCGTTGATCAACCTCACCCAAGCACGTGGCCGTTGCACATAGCTACCCTTTGCTTCCCAAAGAAGAGTAATCCCATCATCCACTATAGGCACCGGTAGTGGGATGTTTTCAAACCCAGCAATGTAAGAATTGATCCCGACCGAGTAATGTTGTGGCCTAAGCGATTGGAAATGGACCGTATCACCAGTTGTCGCTTGTGCACTACCATACGCCACCAACTGCAACTCTCCTCCATTTGATAGCCCCGAGGCTAGAAGTGTACACTTGGTCTCTACCTACACCAGTAACGAAATTTACATGTAAAAACTGAAATTATCAAAAAGGGTCTTTTCCTACACAATTGATCATGTAACAAAATTCACTATGTTAAAATCAAACACGCTCCCTCGAATCCTAAATTCACCTCTAAATCTGGAAATTCATGGGGTGTTGGATTATCAACCTCCCTCGAGTCCGCATGTGTGGGAGTAACAACCTGCAATAATTAATCAATAATGCCACATTAGATCTCACGTAACTCACAAGCTAGGCCAAAACTAATAGATAGAAAACTACCTCATGTATCTCCTCTTCTCCATGTCTCTCATCTTCTCCTTGTCTTTTTGGGTGACTACTGGAGTCGACCGGTGTAGTCGAGGGGAACGGCAAGGGTAAGTTCATTTGCTTCGCCCAAGCATTGAATTCACCTATTAACTCATTGCGAACTTGTTCCTTGATGGATGCCACCTTGGCATCCAATTCTTCCGGTGAGTTAACACTTGCTCGAGATCTTCCCATTTTTGTGTATTCTGAACCCATCACCTTCTCCCATCCTAGCAACGTCCCTCCCATACCTACTACCCGGCCTTGATGGTAGGGCTTTCCCAAAGCAAGGTGAAGGGGTCTTTCTCTATAGTCGGGACCAGCTTGCCTTCAACAACTTCTGTAGTGTACTCAAGTTGTAGCATAAGAAAAATGTTAACATGAATACATAAAATGTTTTTGTATGGTAAAGTTTCAAATAGCTTACAAGTTTATCCGCCACTTTTTTTTCCGGTTCCTTGATGACCCATTTTCCGGTATCCTTATCAAAGGAATGTAGAGAACAAATGAAATCGCCAGCACGACTAACCAACGTAGTGATCGTGGAGTTGGTGGGTTCTGAGGATGACCCTTGAGTCACAGTGGGGTATATACCCTCCTTCTCCCAAGTTTACCTCCATTCACCAAATGTCTTGGCCCCCGTACGATGGCGGTACTCCTTCTTCAATGAACTTGCCTTGTTTTGCTCTCAAATTTCCTACATAAATAGTAATGTTAGCATCATTACTGCAAAAAGAGTCAATATATTATACAATTCTCATTAGATTTAGTAGTTCTTACAATTGCTTTGGGTCAAGTTTTTTGAATAACAAAGTCTTTCCACTCGTCCTCCGTCACGCTTGGCCATTTTTTCCACGGTGGGTCTTGTTCCTCAACATCTTCCTCATTTCCACCTTCACCATCATTTCCCTTGGAAGCTTTCTTCTTGTGTTTCTTTTTCTTATAGATCCATCCACTGGTCAAGTGGGTCTTGAAGCCTCTGAATCTCTCCGCTAGTAAAGAATCAAACACCCTTCTCTTCTGGGGATCATTAGGAATACTAAACAGCTTCTGCAATCACAAATACAAGCAATTATTATTTTCCATTTACAAACAAACATTAGGTGAAATTATTTGTAATACATGTAAATGTGCATTTGAACAAAAAACTTGCCCTGGTATCATCCCAAAATGTTTGAATCAAGCCTGGAGGTACTTGCTTCCAAGAAAGTGTAATGGGGATTTTGCGCGAACATATGCCAACTTGGTTTGCATATTTCCGAATCCATTGGCCAATAGGTCGGCCTCTTTTGTCATACTCCAACACCATGGAACCGGTTGGCTTCTTAAAACTTGTTGTTGGACCCCTACCCTTTCTCTTAGCTGGTGCCTTTACCCCCACTCCACCACCTGTGTTCAATTGCTCCTTTCCTTAGCTTTGAGTTTGAGGAGTAGAGTTCTCACCAACAATCTCAACAATTGACGAATCAATAGCAGGCGCACGTTCAGCTGAAATTTCAAATTCATCAAGCCTGCGTTCAAAAGCATCTTGTTCCTGATCTTCTGGCTCACCCAAATCAGTCTCCTTGTTGACATCATATGGCTCGTCCTTGTCCTCATCCTCATCCTCATCCTCATAGCCATCATCATCATCCTCCAAATCCTCTACTAGTGGGTCATAATCGTCCACCATGAGTTATAACACTTGTCATTACAAACATAACAAGATATTAGGTCCATAAGAGATAAAAATGTTGACATATAGGTCATAATACATGTTAGTATATAAAATATTAAATTCTATCATTTTTGATGCATTTTGACGTAACTTGTTATTTTCTAGTACCGTTAACACTAAAAAAATTAAATTCTATCATAATATGTCAATTTTGAGATATACTTCATTCAAATTAAATGGTATAGTACCTCATTCTAATATTCCTTCGTTGTGGTCTGACCGCATATAACATGTCTAGTCGTCTATGTCATTTGATGCAATAAGTCTAGGAACAGTGAAAGGTGCTGAATCATCAAATGCATCGTATTCTTCCTCATCTTCAACATCTCCGATGCCTAGGATTCTTATTTTCCCAGCTAGCACAATGGACCATCTTGAATCGACTGGGTCAGTTACATAGAACACTTGCTTAGCTTGAGAAGCTAGGATGAACGGTTCCGCACTATCATTCAAGTGCCCAAGATCTACAAGAGTAAAGTCATCATACTTGACATTACGCCTGATATTATCGACCCACTTCCATTTGAAAAGAGCAACCGTGAAGTTACAATAATCAAGCTCCCATATTTCTTGAATTCGACCGTAGTATGACAATTTTGCATCGATAGGTGATTTATCCTTAGCACTTGCAAACTCCCTTGACGATGCCACAAGCGTTACTCCACTGTTTTGGGTCGACGTAGATTTCAAATCCCGACCCTCTGTCCAAAAAGTGTACCCATTGATGTCATATCCCTCAAATGAGCGAACATCATCCCTAGGACCATAAGCAAGCCACCTTACTGTATCGGTGACACTATCATCCAAGCGACTCATCACTCGTTGACTAAACCAACTCACAAACCTCTTATTATGCAACTGCATTAGTGCCCTTTCACCTTTCGATGGAAATTCATCACGCAAACTAGCCATGTGCTCATCTAAATATGGGTGAACATCCGCAACATGGTGAAACACATAAAGGTGTGCTTGTAAGAATTGATCTCGATCCGGTGACATTCGTTTCGACCCAATTGTGCCATGACCATCCAGTCTCCCTTCATGTCGAGAAGCAGGAAGACCACTAGGTTCAGCAACGGCTAAATAGTCGGCCACAAAATTACCAATCTCCTCACTCACGGTCCCTTGAATCATGCTTCCTTCCGGATGAGCCGGATTCCTTACTTTATCTTGCAATGTGCCCATGTTTCTTTTAAAAGGATAGCACCACCTCAAGAAAACTGGACCGCAGCTTAATCTCATGCACCAAATGAAGAATGAGATGCACCATTATGTCAAAAAATGAGGGTGGGAAATACATCTCAAATTTGCACAAATTCACAACCACATCCGTTTGCAAAGCATCAAGTGTACAAGGATCAAGCACTTTTCTGCATATTGTATTGAAAAACGAACATAGGCTTGTAATAGCTTCCCTCACGTGCTTCGGTAAAATACCACGTATTGCAATCGGTAGAAATACTTGCATCAACATGTGACAATCATGGGATTTCATACTTGTCAGCTTCAGTTCTCCACTTAAGGATACAAATCTTTTCATGTTAGATGCGTACCCAGATGGAACCTTAATGACATAAAGACATGCACAAAACATCCGCTTTTCTACCCTTGACAATGTGTAGCAAGCCGGTGGTAAATACTTCTTCTCAACCTTGCCTTTACCCTCATCTCTACTCTTTGAAGCATCCAAGGCCTTTCCCTTTCCCTTGCTATTCCCCTTTCCTTTTTTTCGAAACATTTACAGTTTCTTGTTCCGGTTCCTTTCCCTTTCTGTCCTTCCCCTTTGTAACCTTGTCTTGAGGCCACAATTCTGGACGAATCCCGATCTCTTCCAAATCTAACCGTACACCCTTTCCATCCTTTGTTTTGCCTGAAATATTAAAAAGTGTTCTCACAAGAGCATCACACAGATTCTTCTCTATATGCATCACATCTAGACAGTGCCTAACATCATGTTCTTTCCAGTACGGAAGCTTCCACAAAATTGATTCTTTTTTTAAAAGAGATGTTGAGACCGGAGCTTTTTCAGATTTTTCAAACATTGTTCGTATACCCTTAACTCGAGCATAAACCTCAACACCGGTCAATGGCCTAGGCGCAGTCTCCTCTTCCACTGTCCCATCAAAAGCCTTTTTTTGCCTACGGTACGGTTGATCACGCCTAAGGAACCTTCGAGTCCTTATATACACATCTTTGTGAGAATTCTTAAGGTATATGCTTGATGTTTCATCAATACATATGGGGCATGCTTTTTTCCCTTCAACCTTGTACCCACACAGGTTTCCATATGCAGGGAAGTCATTCATGGTCCACATAAGGGCTGCACGCAATGTGAACACCTCGTTCTTATGAGCATCAAAACAAGAAACCCCTTCGTCCCACATCTTTCTCAAATCGTCAATTACTGGCGCAAGGTAAACATCTATGTCATTTCCAGGTTGCCTAGGCCCGGTTATTAGCAATGAAAGCATTATATACTTCCGTTTCATACATAACCAAGGAGGCAAATTGTAGATCACTAAAAGAACCGGCTAAGTGTTGTGTTGGGTACTAAGAGTGCCAAATAGATTCATCCCATCTGTGCACAACCTAAGTCTTAAATTTCTGACTTCATTACCAAACTCCAGAAACTTCAAATCAATGTTCTTCCATTGCGGGGAGTCAGCCGGATGCTTCAGCATTCTGTTTTTCATCCTTCCCTCGGCATGCCACCTCAAGTTTTTAGTGTCTTTTGGTGTTGAGAATAGACGCTTAAACCTTGGAATAATAGGAAGATACCACAACACCTTAGCAGGAGGTCCCTTCGTACCAGGATTGCAACTCATGCGCTTGTAGCGCGATTTCTTGCATCGTGGACACTCCTCCAATTGTTCATTCTCATTACGATACAAAATACAATCATTAGGACAGGCATGTATCTTCTTATACTCTAAAGCAAATGGACACATAAGCTTCTTTGCATAATAGTAAGACATAGGAATTTCATTCCCATCAGGCAACATCTCACTTAATGCGGTCAACAAAGAAGTAAAACTAAAATCCGTCCACCCATGCTTCGACTTAATGTTAAAAAGTGTTAGCACGGAAGAAAGTTTGGAGTATTTTTTGCTCCCAGGGTACAAAGGCTTTTTGGAAGCCTCCGTTAGTAATTCAAACACATCACCTTCGACATTATGCAACATCTCATCCACGTCATTATCCTCGACCTCATCCACTGGATGATCCTCAGCTCCATCCTCACCACTATCAATAATATATTCATCATTCTCCCATTCCTCGTCCACATGAATCTCATTGATTTTATCATGCACATCATTCCCATCAAGATCCTCACTATATTCTCCAATTTCACCATGCCAAATCCACACATGGTATTTAAGTCTAAACCCACGACAAAGTACATGATCTCTAATGATTTCAACACTATTGACCACCTTCACATTATTACAATCAACACAAGGACAGTATAGGCCTTCCTCACCAATTTTGCGCTGATAAGATAAAGTCGTCTCGCAAAACTCTTGAACCCCATTCCAAA